GAATATGTTGCCTAAGATATCAGCTTAGACAACATACTCGATCTGAACATGTTGCCTAAGATATCAGTTTAGATAACATACTCGATCAGAATATGTTGCCTAAGATATCAGCTTAGACAACATACTCCATTTAGATATGTTGCCTTCAAACTGTAATTAACATAATATAATATTTCTTTTAGGCAGCGTTTATATTGTTTAATTGTTGCCTAAGATTTTTGTGTACCATGACGCAATTTTTTTCTTGCACACTTTCTACAAATGAATCTCAAACAAACAAACAAACAAACAAACAAACAACCAAATGTTGTATACAAACAACTTTTATAACCAAACAAAATTAATAAGTTCAATAATTGAAAGATAATTTTTTTTTTCTAAATAAGTCATAAAGTAGGCAACAAGTTCAATAACACAAAATTAAAAACTTAACCTAAAGTGTGAGAGGTCGGGGTTGTTGTGTTAGAGTTTGAATCACTAGCACCCAACATAGTCATCAATGATTGAATCATCTTTCTTTGCTCGACAGCTTCCTTTTTTGCCTCATGTTATCCCTCTTTTAACAATCTAATCTCCTCGTCACGCTCGGCAAGTTGTTGCCGCAAATCTTCCTCATCAACTACAGATACCGGCTTAGAGAATCCCTTCGCCAGTCCTCTCATCCTCGCAGGTCTAACCGCCAAGCTACCTAAACCTCGAACAACCGTACCTACCGACGGACCAACAATTTGCTCGATGATTGATATTTCTTTTCAATTGGGTAACGAATTGGAGTCCCGACAGATTCCGGAGTGCCTTCAGAAACGTTCTTAATCTTCTCAATCTCTTCCTGAACAAGTTTCTGTAAATACGATTCAAACAGTTGTTTTTATTATAATTATACATTTCTCGTCAATCATCCCTCATTAATGAGTTGAAATGGTAAAAAAACGAACTAAATTAATGTGTTTTTATATTTTTAAAAGTTGGAACGAAAAAGGGATAAAAGAATACTTTTGATAGCTTTGTGAGACTATTTCGAGCATATATCACTCGTCCGAGCTCGGATTTAAGTAATTAAAGATGATCTGGAAAGCTAACAAATAGTCCTACAACGTTTAAGTTTTGAGTTTCTATAAATTCAGGCTAAATCTAAGCTAAAATAGGCGTCAAAGGTGAAAAAGTGATGCTGCACAGCAAATGAAAAAAATATAAAAATCATGATCGCAAGAAAACAAAAGTTCAAGTTTACTTACTTTACGGTCTTCACTTGTAGTGGTCTCGGCAATTGTACTGAGATGAGGAGCCACATGTCCGGTAGTTTCAAGGTTGTTAGCCCTAAACCGGAACAAAGTATGTCCCGATTTGTACTCGATCCTATTCTTTGATAACCTTGCTTCCGTCATTCTCTTTGATTTATTGTACAACATGAGAAACATTTATTTTACAATCTAAACTAATATATATATATATGTGTATATATATATATACTTATATACTTATTAAATACCTTCCATGTTTCTTTCTCAAAAAGTGTGCACAAAAAATCCCATTGATCTGGCCGATGTACAAAGTTCTTTGGGATTGGGAGACAGCCTTGCTTCTTATATAATGTGTGGCAATCAGTTTTCCACCTATTGTATGAGTGACGCATAGTTAGGTGGATCCAATCAAATAATGCGTCACCTGGAGGTCCATTCCAATCAATCTCAAAGAAAACCTGAAAAGCGTATACAAATCAAAATGAAATAAAAAATTAAGCATTATTAATTAATAAGACATAAATCATAAAAAAAATAGCAATGAAAATATACTTACGCTAAGTTGATCAACCACAATCTTGAGTTCGTCTTGTGGAAGTTGTAAATAACTATCAGTCAACATTGGAATATGCTCACGAACAATGCTCCCAATTTGCTTTGCGATCCTACAAACTTTGTTTGTATCGGGCAAATTTTTTTCCATGGACCACTTGAGAGGAAGACGTTTATTTTCATTGTTAGCGATGTCTCTCATAATCGCCTTTCCGGTGATAATTCCTCGTTTTGCCTTCTTTGTAACCGGTTCTTCCGTCGGTTCCACTTGGATGCGGCGACAATTGATACATATATCTAGAGCAAGTGGCCCAGGTGTACTCGTCTCTGATGACGCAGGTGTAGTTGATCAGTCCAAAGACGGAAGGTACAATTGGCGTTGGACGGAAGGTGTCGCCTCTGACGAGATTTCTACCGAATCACCCTCTAGGCATGCCGTAGTCCGTCCCAAGACCGACGCTTTTGCTAAATTAAACGCTAGAGTTCTTTTTGGAGGCATATGGATCTACAAAAAACAATGTCTAACATGTTTAAGAACAATACTATAAAACAATATGTTTTGAACCTTGTTACATAGTGTTTTTAATGACATTTTCCCATTGACATCGTTAATATGTTATCAATGGTAAGGAAAGGTTCATTTAGCGTCAAAGGATGAGAAGAAAGCAACATTCTGAGAACAGAACCAAATCCAAAAAAGGGTGGTTTAGGAGGACCTTTTGTTAATTACACCCCTTTTTGTTTTTCTTTTTTATTTACCAACGGTTATAATATCAACCATAAATAATATAAAAAGAAGACAAGAGAAGAAGAAAAAAACGTGATGTGCATGTGATCCAACAACCTTTATGTTCCCTCTTTTTTAAGTTCTTCTTAACCCATCAATATCACTAGATTCCTTTCCCCACTATAGATATATATTCCGTCAAAAATGTAATAATATATATGTATATATATATCCTTTATATATATATATGTATATATATATATATATCCTTTATATATATATATATATATATCTATACTACATATATAACCATTTAAGACAAAGTCTTAAGTACAAGTTACTAAGCTTAAGTTACAACTATTTTATGCAAGATTTTTAAAAAACTCTTAATTACAAGTCATCAAGCATGAAGTACAAGCTTTTATGCATTGAGTGGTAAATATTCAGACTTCTTTTTCTCTCCTCTTCCTTTTCTAGAAAAATCCTTACCCGCCAAATCATTTTGGGTAAGGTCAAAATTGCTTTCTCTTTTCTTCTTCTTTTCCAGCTTCTTGTTGATGAATGTTCCTGTGCCAAACCCAAATCAGTAAGTTCAGCGTATGATTTCTTCAATTACTGCAAATTTTGCACAAATAGGAGGTTCCCAAGAATACTTCATCGATGCATATAACCAGACTTCGGAGGTTTTGATATCGCTCCCGTCGTACGTCCCAAGCCCCAAGACGTTGATTCGATTTTCCTTAAGACGTCGATTCAATCTCCAAGGTGAGATTCATCGTTCAAAACCATAATGTTATACGGTTGGGGTTCCACTCGATTCTTGCTTCCATCTCCACTCCTGATTCGATTCTCGATTCTCGATTCAATCTCCAAGGTATGTTGATGACATTTTAACTTCCTTTCTCTTCTCTTCAATTTAACTGATTCTTTCAAAAATTCAAAAGGTTTCATGTTCTGTTAACGATTGGTTGAAATTATGTGCCAATCGCCCTGCATCTCTCGCTCTCGCTCTGTCTCTGCAATTTTAAACCGATTCGTTGTCGATTTTGACCTAAGTCGTTGTTTTTGGTTTTATTTTTCAGGATCAAACCATGAAAGAGGGTAAATCAAGCGGTGGTACGAGAAAAGCCGATACCAAGTAGGATTTCTTTAATCTGTACTATATCTCACACATACCATTCGTTAGGGTTTTTATGTTGTTTATTGTTTTTAGCTTCAATRATGTCAGATTTTCCCTATTGGTTCAKGAATTTGGTACCTTTTGATGATTGTATGTTTCTTTTAGGTTGGCTGTGAAGAAAACTCAAGCCAAAGGGAAAGCTGTCAAGGATCCCAATAAGCCTAAGAGACCTGCTAGCGCTTTCTTTTTATTCATGTTAGTAATTGTTGTTCTTCTATCTGTTACGTTCAATTTTTATTATGAATCTTCTCTTCTTTTTGATGTTTTTTACCCTTTTGATATAATGAAGGGAGGAGTTCAGGAAACAATTTAAAGAAGAGAACCCTGGCAACAAATCTGTTGCTGCTGTGAGTAATCGTCCTTTTCTACCTTTTATATCTTAAATTTGAAGTTTTGTTTCAAGTACTCTRTTTCTAGATTGAGTTGGTTTGAATTTTCTTAAGCTTTTGATWTGAAAATCACTTGTGAATGATGAACAGGTTGGTAAGGCTGGTGGGGCGAAATGGAAGACAATGTCAGATTCTGTAAGTCACACTTAATTCACATGGTTCACTTTAGGAAGTATAATAAGTATAATGATTACATAAAGGATTGGCCTTGAGAGTTGAAATGGTAGAAGAGTAAACATTAATTATGGTTTTGTTAGCCAAATTTTAACATTTTTCATCCAATCTTATGACATTTAATAGAGAATTGATGTAGTATTAAACTATTTGTAACTTGGAATGGCAGTGGTTTCTGAAATGAATAGTAGAAGGTGTAGGGAGTTTATGCGCTACTTTTCCTCAAGACYAGAAGGTGTCGTTCTGTAGGCTTCCGCTTKGCTGGATACATGGAAAAATTGAGGTATTGTTTCCTGCTRCTTCTTGTTAGAAGGTCYAACTGAGCTTCCTGACGTTGCTCATAAAAATGGATGCTAATCTGATAAATAGTAGGCTGCTTTTCACGTATGCCATTTGGATACTTGATGTTGGTTGCAGACTTGGATGATTTTCTGGTGACTGATTGATTATTGACCATGTGTGACTAGCTAATTTATCTGCAGTCTTCTTGGGAATAGTTCTTTGGCCGCCACTGTAGAGCTYTAGAGTCTGTTTGTTTAGGTCCTTTAGGATAATCACCAGGGGATCAGGCATGTAGACATGTAGTGTGAGCATCCGTCCAGATGTGCACTTTTACTCCAAGGCTAAATGAATATTGTAATTTATGTTCCCATTTCATCTTATACACACACACACATTTGTTTCCATTTCATCTTAGAACTGGTGATTTGAGCAGCCTTGGTTTATTTCTGTTTCCATTTCATTTCTGTTTCCATTTCTTCCTTTCTTTCTTTGATA